ACACAAAGCGACCAGAGACACAAAGCGACCAGAGACACAAAGCGATCACAGAGACACAAAGCGACCAGAGACACAAAGCGATCACAGAGACACAAAGCGACCAGAGACACAAAGCGATCACAGAGACACAAAGCGACCAGAGACACAAAGCGACCACAGAGACACAAAGCGACCAGAGAAACAAAGCGATCACAGAGACACAAAGCGACCAGAGACACAAAGAGACCACAGAGACACAAAGCGACCAGAGACACAAAGCGACCAGAGACACAAAGCGACCACAGAGACACAAAGCGACCAGAGACACAAAGAGACCACAGAGACACAAAGCGACCACAGAGACACAAAGCGACCGCAGAGACACAAAGCGACCAGAGACACAAAGCGATCACAGAGACACAAAGCGACCACAGAGACACAAAGCGACCAGAGACACAAAGCGACCACAGAGACACAAAGCGACCAGAGACACAAAGCGACCAGAGACACAAAGCGATCACAGAGACACAAAGCGACCAGAGACACAAAGCGATCACAGAGACACAAAGCGACCAGAGACACAAAGCGACCACAGAGACACAAAGCGACCACAGAGACACAAAGAGACCAGAGACACAAAGCGACCAGAGACACAAAGCGATCACAGAGACACAAAGCGACCAGAGACACAAAGCGACCAGAGACACAAAGCGACCACAGAGACACAAAGCGACCAGAGACACAAAGCGACCAGAGACACAAAGCGACCAGAGACACAAAGCGACCAGAGACACAAAGCGACCAGAGACACAAAGCGACCACAGAGACACAAAGAGACCAGAGACACAAAGCGACCACAGAGACACAAAGCGACCAGAGACACAAAGCGACCAGAGACACAAAGCGATCACAGAGACACAAAGCGACCAGAGACACAAAGCGACCACAGAGACACAAAGCGACCAGAGACACAAAGCGACCAGAGACACAAAGCGACCACAGAGACACAAAGCGACCAGAGACACAAAGCGACCACAGAGACACAAAGAGACCACAGAGACACAAAGAGACCAGAGACACAAAGCGACCACAGAGACACAAAGCGACCAGAGACACAAAGCGACCACAGAGACACAAAGAGACCACAGACACAAAGCGACCACAGAGACACAAAGCGATCACAGAGACAAAGCGACCACAGAGACACAAAGCGACCACAGAGACACAAAGCGACCACAGAGACACAAAGCGACCAGAGACACAAAGCGACCACAGAGACACAAAGCGACCACAGAGACACAAAGCGACCAGAGACACAAAGCGACCAGAGACACAAAGAGACCACAGAGACACAAAGCGACCAGAGACACAAAGCGACCAGAGACACAAAGCGATCACAGAGACACAAAGCGACCAGAGACACAAAGCGACCAGAGACACAAAGCGATCACAGAGACACAAAGCGACCAGAGACACAAAGCGATCACAGAGACACAAAGCGATCACAGAGACACAAAGCGACCAGAGACACAAAGCGACCAGAGACACAAAGCGACCAGAGACACAAAGCGACCACAGAGACACAAAGCGACCACAGAGACACAAAGCGACCAGAGACACAAAGCGACCAGAGACACAAAGCGACCAGAGACACAAAGAGACCACAGAGACACAAAGAGACCACAGAGACACAAAGAGACCACAGAGACACAAAGCGACCACAGAGACACAAAGCGACCAGAGACACAAAGCGACCAGAGACACAAAGCGATCACAGAGACACAAAGCGACCAGAGACACAAAGCGACCAGAGACACAAAGCGATCACAGAGACACAAAGCGACCACAGAGACACAAAGAGACCACAGAGACACAAAGCGACCACAGAGACACAAAGAGACCACAGAGACACAAAGAGACCACAGAGACACAAAGCGACCAGAGAGACACAAAGCGACCACAGAGACACAAAGCGACCACAGAGACACAAAGCGACCAGAGACACAAAGCGACCACAGAGACACAAAGCGACCAGAGACACAAAGCGACCAGAGACACAAAGCGACCACAGAGACACAAAGAGACCACAGAGACACAAAGCGACCACAGAGACACAAAGCGACCAGAGACACAAAGCGATCACAGAGACACAAAGCGACCAGAGACACAAAGAGACCACAGAGACACAAAGAGACCAGAGACACAAAGCGACCAGAGACACAAAGAGACCAGAGACACAAAGAGACCAGAGACACAAAGCGACCACAGAGACACAAAGAGACCACAGAGACACAAAGAGACCAGAGAGACACAAAGAGACCAGAGACACAAAGCGACCAGAGACACAAAGAGACCAGAGACACAAAGAGACCAGAGACACAAAGCGACCACAGAGACACAAAGAGACCACAGAGACACAAAGAGACCACAGAGACACAAAGAGACCAGAGACACAAAGCGACCAGAGACACAAAGAGACCAGAGACACAAAGAGACCAGAGACACAAAGAGACCACAGAGACACAAAGAGACCAGAGACACAAAGCGACCAGAGACACAAAGCGACCAGAGACACAAAGAGACCACAGAGACACAAAGCGACCACAGAGACACAAAGCGACCACAGAGACACAAAGCGATCACAGAGACACAAAGCGACCAGAGACACAAAGCGACCACAGAGACACAAAGAGACCACAGAGACACAAAGCCACCACAGAGACACAAAGCGACCACAGAGACACAAAGCGATCACAGAGACACAAAGCGACCAGAGACACAAAGCGACCAGAGACACAAAGCGACCACAGAGACACAAAGAGACCAGACACACAAAGCGACCAGAGACACAAAGCGACCACAGAGACACAAAGCGACCACAGAGTCAAAGCCACCAGAGACACAAAGCGACCACAGACACACAAAGCGACCACAGAGACACAAAACCACAAAGAGACACAAAGCGACCACGAAAGACAAACTATAGACAAAACAACTACAGAGACCTAAAACAACTCCACAAATCTACTCAAAGCGATCAAAAATAACTGCTAAGAGACAAAGAGTGATCACGAGAGAGACAACTGCAAAGAGACACAAGACATTGAATGAAAATAACAATCTGTGTCTCTCTCTCTAGCCAGTTGTGGGTCCTTTGCATGTCTCTCAACCTAAAACTCTGACATGTTTCTCCCAGTTGGTCCACAGCTCATGTGTCCCACTAAGCTGCGGGTGAGGGAGGGGGAGAGCCTGAGCTGCGAGGCGAGAGGAAACCCCCCGCCATCCGTCACCTGGTTCAGAGACGGACAGGTGGTCGCCCTGCCTACTAACTCCAGCAGAGAGCATGCTGGGGAATACACAGTTTCTGCAAAGTCTATTCTGGGAGAGACACTTTTCACAGTGGACGTGGAGGTCCTCCCTGGCAAAGGTACGTGTATTAGAGCTGCGTTCATATGCCTGAAAGCTTTATTTAAAGCCTCATTGTTCTTTTATATTGAGTTCCTATTAACGAGGTTTAAACGTTCTTTCCTTCCTGAATATCCGAGTGCATTGTTGTTTTCTAAATAGTTTTAAAACATCCTGTATCAAGGGAATTTATTTGTCTCTTCCTTCTTAGGAACTACCAACAGTTACAACGGGCATTTCCTGTTGGCCGTCTTGCTCATTTGGACGATCAACTGGTCGTAAAACCTCAGGACTCAACGTGATGTGTGATGATTTTTATTCCAAAAATCTGCGAGGGAGGTCTACTCCTGCTGTGAGAAATATTTGTCAGCGAAAACTTGTTCCGTCTCCCTTTCCTGCAGTGTGATATATAAGTTTGTGTGCATGTAAATGGTCTGCAAAGGCTAAAATCCCAAAGTTCCCCAGAGGGAGTTTCTAAGTAGCAGATACACCTCTCTGCTTCGAGAGATTCTGCACAGGTACATTTTCTTAGAATAATTATTAATCTGATCTTTATGTAATCCGCACAAACTAACTTCCATATATTCAAGACTGAAAGCTGCTGTAGAAATAATTCACAATGTATTTTTGTACATTTCACTAATCAAAACTCGTACTGCCATAAAGATGTTATGGACACAAAACAATGTTTGTTTGTGTCGTGTGTACAGCTGTTTTTTTTTTCCTGTAGTATAATAAGATACTAACAGGTGGTGTCCAGACTTTTGAAATGCTCCAGATCCTTCACTAAAGTCATGTTCATTCTGCTGTGTATTAAAATGCTGAATTCTCGTGTCCAACATCAGTGCTTTTTTGCTTTAGACTTGAACTTCCTCGCCAATTCACCAACAAAATATGGTCAAAATGAACATAACTGTGAGGGTCTAACGTTGATATGTCAAACTTTTGTAAGAGTGGCAAACGTAAGTTAAGTGTTGAAACTGTTAATTAAAAGTAAAAAAGGTATGCCTGGTTTTAAAGCAATACAAAATAATAAAAGTTGGATGAAATATTTGAAGACTTGGGGTGTTTCTCAATGTCGAGGACGCTTCCTTGGTGGGACATGTCTTCCCACAGGTCCATCAGAGGCTAGGCAAGAATCCTTCCTGGCATTCGGAGAACGAAGAATGGAACAGGCGAGCAAGTGTGCGTCATATGAGAGGCCCCGCCTTACATTTTCCGCCAAAGATTTTGCAAATTGGTCCGTGCGCAAAGCATTGTGGGGATTTTAAGACCGGAGGATACACATGTGCAGCCTCGAAATTTCCCGCAACGAAGGACGCCGGCCTCGGTAGAATTCCAAGCATCCTGGACATTGGAACAGTCCTTCAGCGGGACTCGATGACGTAGCATCCTTGAAATAGTGGCTCTGGAGCAGCCTTCCTCGACATTGAGAAACACCCCAGGTCACAAACATAGCAGTCGGCCACTTTGCACATGCACACTTAGTGTTTTGTAATGTATTTATTGCGTGTAAGGCACCAATACTGAAACCTAAGGCTCATTAACTCATTCCTTCAGTGTCTCTACCTTTGAAGACAATTTATCTAAAATCAAATGGCTGCACAACACGTTAATTTTTTATTATTTATTCATTCAAATCAAATCATACATTATAAACAAAGCCTCTCAAATACAAGTTGATTAAAGGGTCATTGCACAATTCATCACAAGGTGTTATCAGAAACAGTCTGTTCCTTTCTTATTGGTAGAAGTGCCATTTCTCCTTTCATAGGTAAAACAAAACTAGCATTTCTTTGGTTACTTCCCAACTCAGATGAAATGCAAAAAAAAATCTCAACTTGTAGCTGTAGACAAAAAAAAAATCATATTCATTAGCTAATTGACTTTTGATGAGCATCTAATTTGCACAGCTGATTTTGGTGTCGTAACTCCTGTGTTTGTGATAATCTCAACATGTGTCCAGTCAAGAAACGGCTCCCACCTAGAGAGAAATAAACAAAAATAAAAGTTGAACAAACCTTAATTTACTATATTCCATGTCTTAAATACAACATATCTGGGTTATACTTTGTCAAACAATAAGTCTTTACTTACTTTAGGTCTTGCATTGTCTGATCCTAAATGTTACAAAAAAGGCTATTGATGGTGGTTTAACCTTTTGTCAGATCATTATTTTATTACTACAAACCTAAATTAAATAAGGTTATCCGTCAAACTTTTTCCTGAACATTTAAACTAATATAATATAGGCGGGTAAATATAGATTTTTTGTAATTCTATAGTAGTGAATGAAAATCAGGATATCTGCCGTTTAGAGTTTTTTCATCCAAAAATACATCAACTAAATAGGATTAAACAAAACGTACCGTGTGTAAATCTGCACCGGGAGTTGTCATTGTACAATAACGTCGTCGTCGTCGGAGATGATCTGCACGTGTCCAGCACGAGAGAGCTGGGCAACGTCTCTGACCTGCTTCGGCACAACGACTCGACACAACGGGAAACCCACCAGGCTGGACTGGGGGGGCGGAGGAGGGAACGGAGGACTTCTGGTGTCCAACCCCAGGCTCCAGTGCTGGACTGAACACTTGTATTTAGCCACGGCTGTTGCCAGGAGGTCCGGGGGGATCGGCTGCACACGAGCCAGCGCCTGCTCTGCGAGGAGCTCCAGGAGGGACTGAGTCTGAGCAGATCTGATGTTTATCGGGGTTTTGTCAGCAGGTGTAGAGGAGGCAGAATCCACTGAAACCCTTCCTGTTTGACCCTCCACCTTATTCTCAGAACTAAGGGAAACTGGATTGGAGAGATTTCTGATCAAACATCTTTTTATTGTGTTTCGACAATGTATAAGTAATGTTTGTCATTTCGAGATGGAAAGCAAAATATATGCATACAAATGAGACAGCGGTCTGTACTGATTGTACGTACAAAGAGAAAAAAGAATTACAAAAACCACAAACAATAACATTGACTAAAGTAAACTCCTACATTCGCTGCCAGTGAGCCTCATACACACGATTATTTATCAGGAACATTGTTAGATGAATATATATGCGTGTAATGCATATGCACATACATGCAGCAAATACCTGGAGTGGAGAGATTTGAACTCACGATAATGACATCGTCTGAGTCGTGAGGCAGGGGAGACTCCTGGAGGACGCTGAAGTTATCCGAAGTAGCGAGAGGCGGCTGCTTCTTCTCAGGCCGGACCCTTTTCACTCTGAGAACACATGTGAGAAGTGAATTAGGAAATCCTTTTAACAAAAAAATAAATAAATCAAGACCTTTCGTAACATTTCCAGAAGCATCTAGACTAGGAACTCATACAAATAAAAGAGACAAACTCACGGTAATGGTGCAAAGAGGCTCAACATCTCCCTGCTCTCCTTGATCAGCACCCTGAAACACATGTTGAGTAGTAATCAGATTACTTTTTTTAGGAAAATTGGGTTTCAAATTTAGATTGAAAATAAATCATGATAATAAAAAAAAAAAAAATTATAGAAATATTAGTATAACAAAAATATTAAGTAAGAAAGTTTAATAAATAGTCAAATAAAATACATACGTAAAGAGAACTTTAAGTTAAACTGTCCAATAAAGATAGAATTAAAAACAAATATGTATTCAAATATAAGTTAAAGTGGTGTGCACATTGTACCACAATCTATGACAGGTATATATACAATAGTGGTATAAATATTAGTATGGATAAGATATTGAATTGCACATTTTAATGAGGAATTGTTTTAACAGTAAGAGAAATCAGGCTGTTGAGACTGAGTTTGCCCCGGTGTGACCAACCTGGATTGTGACCAACCTGGATTGCATCCACCCCTTTGGCCACAGCAGTTTGACCTCATTGTCTAAAAAGGTCTTCAGATATTCCTCCAGCTCCTGACTCCTTTTCTGTCTTTTATACCTCTCCATGTTCACGGTTAACACGTGACACAGGCACTCCCTGTGTGAGAGATGTTGGCACAAAGTTCAATTAGGTTATTTAACATTTTAAATAATCTAATGATGATTAAATCTGACCTGATCTCTTCGTTCCATTTGAACAGCTTCTTTGGAGCTCCTCTCTTCCCGCCTTTCTCCTCCATGTTGTCCTCTGGACCCACATTCTCCTTCTGTTTGCTTTCTTTCTCCTCCGCTGCCCTGACATTAAAACAAAGAGATTAATATGAGACAAAAAAGATCCACAATGAGCCCAAACCATGATCTGAGGAGAATCAAGTGTACGGCCTCAAATTATGGATACAGTAGTTTTTGAGTAGAAGCTGCACAAAAATATGTGTGAATACAAAATGGAAACAAGGCTTTGAAATAACAAATATATTCTCATAATTGATAGATGAAAATATAAAAATATAATCATTTGAAGCCAAAGGCCCCTTTTTTGGCTCCTCTGTTAGCAAATAGCAATCTAACAGTACCATTTAAGTAAATTAAAAGGAATTTTCCACACAAGATATATGCTCAAGTGCTTACTTTGAAGTCCTGGCTTGTTCATATACTTGACAGTTTTCATTGAAACTTGCAATCTGCTCGGGCATGGCTCTGCAGACGGCCTCCTTCAGTTTCTGCATGCGGTTTTCCACATCAGAGCATTCCTCCTGGTCAGTGTCAAATTCAAGATAAAAGTCACATGCAGATCTAAAACTTGAAAAACACATAATACACGTGATAAAAAATAAAACTCACCGTGTGTGCGAGGAACAGTTTCTTCACACGTTTGAGGAGTGTGTCTCTGCTGCAGGGCAGGAAGGACGACAGGTGTGTGTAGACCTTGGAGCGCAGCTGGACCCCCTGTTCCCGACACTGCAACTCAATACTGGAGCAACACACACAGAGAGCATTAACACACACTTAGAAACTGTTTAACATTACTATAGATAGCTAAAGATTGAAACACACAATTACTTCAAGTAGTATAGGAATTCAGTAGTAAGTATTGTATGTACAGGAAACATGTGTGTGTGTTCTGTGCAATGCTTGATACTAAAACGTATAATAATAAACTCTATTTATATTGCACCTTTCATGGTGAACGCAGCCCAAAGTGCTTTACGGAGTGTGACAATAACAAATGAGGAACATCATTAAAAACGAGGTATAAACAAACAGAAAGATGTATATCACTGAACCATAAAACATTAACTCTACAAAAAAAAATAAAAAAATTGAAGTTGCTGTTCTAAGATCAAATGGGAGTTTTCTTGTAATGCACTCTCGGTAGTATAGTATTTGCTTAGTCTGTGTTGTTGGATAACTCACTCTAGCAGCATGGAGTTGATTTCTGGAGTGAAGAACTTTAGTTTAGACTCTCCCTCGGAGGTCTTGGCAACCTGAAAGAAATATGTAAATCATCTGTACATCATACATGCTATTTTCCTTTTGCAATAAACGTTATAGAGTGGTGCAGTGATGACGTTTTTTGTAGGCCGACCTGAAAGTTAAAAACCCAAGGGTTCCCTCAACAAAAAGCAATATTGCAGAACTGTGGTAAACGCATTTTTATGAAATGCTGTTCAGCAGGATAATCTCCACATATCAACACACATTGTTATGCTATAAACAGTCTACATGACGGATGCATGACACCACGCTAAGCTAAAAGGAGTCTAATGTTTGGAGTGATTACATTACTTCAAAAAAGGTTCATTAGTGGAGTGTTAACGTGTATTTTATGGTGTAGAAAAAACTAGAAAAACCTGTAAATTTGTATTAACAACAAACCTTATTTCAGTAAACAAACCATCGACATTTTAGCAATTCTGGGCTTCCTCATTTCACTTACTTTTGGTTGTAGAACTCATTCCTGCACCACTGTATTCACAGGTGAGTCTTTATCACTTTGGCAAACAACAAACGGACCTTACCACCGTGAGTTTCCTAATGCTGTCCTCCAGTCGGTGGGGAAGTCCCTCCGGCAGCGGGACACACTGAGGTAATGTAGAACTGGTGTGTGTCGGGAGCTGGATCTGCTCTAACTGAGGCTTCAGCTGCACGTTGGTCCCCGTCATTGGAGGAAGGACCTGAGGGCGAGCCTCAGACTGGGTCAGATTATCTGCTTTAGGACTGAAAAGCTGCGTTTCTGTTGAAGGTGGAGGCGCCATTTTCGTGGACGAAGCAGCTTCACTAACATCTAATAAAGAGTCTAGATCAATGTCAAAATCCATTGCGTTGACTGCCTGGATGAGAGTGTGCTCATTGGTTGACCCGATTAAACTGAGGAGGGGGTCTGTCAGTCCCAAACCTCCCCCCCCGCCTGCATCTGCCGGGAACATTGTGATCGCAGACCTCCTTGGTTTTACTTTATCCATTTTCTGTCGTTCCTTCTCCTTCTCTCTTTGAAACTTCTTCAACAAGCTAGTGACGCTCAACGTGAAGCAAACCTTTTTCTTCTTTTTCTTCTTGATCTTGTCGTCCGATGCCAGTTCAGTCAAAGGGCTGCACGATGAACATTGAGAGATTTATCTTGTGAAGCTAATAAAAAGGTGAAATCAGAGTGAAACTGGATATACAGTAAACATGAGGTAAGAGTGCTTTGGGTAGTCTCACCTTGACTTAGGATCCAAAAAGCTGATCGTCTCCTCCGCCTCTTCTCTGCAGCGCTTCTTCTTCTTTGGCTTATCCTGTCCGTCATTGACTTTACGCTTCTAAAAATGAACAGTTTTGGAACTCAATCACTTAAAAATGTATTTCTGGGTTTTAGACTTACTTTTGAGGACTCAGGAGTTTTCTCTCTTGCTTTGAGGTCCTCAGTCTCAGTATGGCGGAAGTGCAGCACACCAGAGTTTATGTAGAATCCACCGAACTTAGTGGTGAGGGAGGCCGGCACAAACTCATCGTACTACAAAGATCAACCAAAAGCAATATTAGAATTTGATTTAAATAGCTTTGGTCGATACGAAAAACTTTACAACAAGCCAAAGAAAAGATGGAGAAACACTGACAGGCCTTGAAATGTATGAGCAAAGGAAATTTGGCTAATCCCCTTTTTTAATTTTGGAAAAAGTTGTTTAATTCAGAGTATCGACTGCCATCACAATGAGTCACTGCTCCAGGAGAGAGTATTTATGATCAGTGTTGATTATGGTACATTTTAAAAAGCCTGAAACTATGTTTTCAGTAACAACAAAAGGCAGAGATACAGAATATCAAAACTGCGTCTTCATAAAACACTACACGTTTTTAAAAGACGATAATAAACAAACTATATCATGTGGAAATCCAAATATGTGATTTAACACAGACTCACAGGCTCCGTGTTGTCAATGAAGGAATCCTCGTCATCATAACCGTATCCGATATCAATCAGGTCCTGGATACGGTCCTTATTCTTTGGTTTGTCTGCCTGCGATGAAAGGTTGCAAAATACTGTTGTGCTATTTGTATCTGTTGCCATTTCTGATAAAGAGTTCAATCAAATACATCAGTGTCAGTTCTGGTCCAATTCAAACTCTTGATTTTATTTGATGGTCCCTTGAAATGTTGAGGTATATTCATTAATAATTCAGAGCTACTTACATATTTTTTCTCCAACTCCCCTGAAAGAGCCGCGACCTCGTCGATCTCTCTCTTCTCTTCCTCCTCAAATCTTCTCAGTGGGACTTTTGTGTTGTTTATCTAAAGTTAGATAAAGTCTCAAACCAATTACAAAAAAACAAAGTCTGCTCTCTCACCAACAATCACATTAAGATCAGTATATGCATAATCTGTGCATGTGCAGCAAAAAGCATGGGCAATTTCTCACAGGACAAACAAAGTTGACAACCATCATGGATTCAGAGCACCCAATCAATCTGATCTCAATACTTTAAGAGGAAGAATGCATCTTACAAAATGCAAATAATCTTGTGAGTTAAAAGAAAGCCATCCCAAGGAATTAATTGGAAAATAAATCTCCATATTTAAATGTAAAATACATTGGGTGATATGAAAGTTCTGCCTCAGAGTTCTGCCATACTGTTACCTTAAGTCCCCATGTATTTATATTAAAAGTTTGAAAGAGAAAACGCGTATTAATAAAAGTTAACCCAGTCATGCATGGACAAAGTATTAAGCTTGAAAAAGCGTTATGATTTTATTGAATCACTTAATTATTAAAACGTCCAAAATGTAAACAAGTATCATAACTTAGAACAAAAGTCATATTCCAGTTCAATGTGAATCATGACTTACAAAACAGTAGCAGGGTCAATATCACTATAAAGTAACTTTGGTGTCCCCATCAGAATCACTCAGTTATCATGAAAATGTAGCAGAATAATGAAACTCTGAGGTCTTATTATAAAAGGCCAAACATTTACACACATATCAGTACAATGATAAGTCTCTTGAAATGCGTTTCCTTAATTTTTTCATTGGATGTACGTGTTTTTGGCATGTCCCACACACTGCTCTGCTAACTACAGTGTGTGTAATAAGTGGTTAAATCATACTACATTTAAAAAAATAATTATATGGTTTTATTGTCCACAACGAGTTATTTGATAAAAACGAGTCATTTTTATCATGTATATTCTATTTTCATAATAATATTGAACATTTGTCATGTGTCCCTGACATTTGCTGTCCACCCTGTCATCAAGGGGTAACTGCCCCATAAAAAAACCCTCTGATGTTTTCAGTGACATTACTACCACCATTTTGTCAATGGAGGCTGAGACATTGGCTAGTTGCAAAGTAAGTTTTTTAACTTATATTTCAAAATTGTAATCATATTATGTGTGTAGTTGGATGTTGTCAAGCTTAACATGTCCACTCTGTCATAGTGAAATGTCAATTAATATAAAAACCTTTCAGAAATTCGAAATATATATTTGTTAAACAGTACACAGTCACCTTGCTAACTGAATCATGTTGCTAACTGAAGGTCCACCATGTGCTCATTAAATGCTAATATTAGCCACACATTTCCACCCTGTCATTGTCCACCCTGTCAGCAAGCCTTCCATAAATAATATAAAATGTACATTTTCAGAAAGCTATAGTCCCTTTCTCAACAATATATTTCAGTTAATGGAAAAAGTATTTGGATAATAATGAAATTATGGCAAACTATTTGTACCATTGTCCACCCTGTCAGCAAGCCTTCCATGACAGGGTGGACATGGTACAAATAGTTTGCCATAATTTCATTATTATCCAACATTTCTGAAAATGTACATTTTATAATCACTATGTAATTACAATGTATTTACTCTTTGAATGTTGTCCATGACAGGGTGGATACATTTTGCTGTTTGCATGTACTTGCAGTTAATTTATAAAAAGTGTGGGAGCTTAACCAACATCCATTTCTAACGTATATTTAATACAATGAATATGAAGTTTAATGGAAAATCTCAGATTTTTTTTTTGGAAATGGGGAAGTCTCAAATGCACCGTATGGTGATATTGATTAACAACAATGATTTAAAAGAACAACCCTCATTGTCTGTTAATTTATTAAAGTTGAGGTCATGCACTTTGCATTTTCATATAGACTACTCACAATTTAACAAGTTAAGAAAAGTTGGTCATGGATCGATGTTTTGATATGAAAACTAAACTCTTGAATCATCAGTAAACTTTTCTAATCAGAAAAGAGGAATAAATCCCACCTTGTTGTCTAGGAGCCGAGTGTAGCTGAACTCCGGAAAGCTTCTCTCATCAGGGTCGAACAGTTTGAGCACTAGGCGGACCGAACTGGGTTCTGAAGGCGGGTCCAAACACGTCTTCTCCTCCTGAACAACACCCGGGGGGGGCTTCACCTCCACCGGGGCCGGCTGGGTGGGGAGAGGGGCTTCACAGGACAGCGTGGTGAGCTGGACCCTCCGAGACTCTGCCATCACAGCTGATAAGATAACACCGGCAGAGTGTGTGTGTGTGTGTGTGTGTTTCAACCATGGATGTATGATAAGAGGCTTCAACCAGGCAGAAAGGGCTCCATTAGGCACAAACACATGCAGGTGTGCGGCACGTTTTGGTCACGTGATCGCCTCCGCACGCTGCAGCCACTCCTTCAAAACACGGTGGGAAAATATGTGGAAATATCAGTTATATGAATAATTCATTCGCAAAAACAGATAATAGACATTATTTAAATGAATATTAGTCTGGTTTATAAGCTATTTCGTTAAGTCAAAACAATAGTTCTTAAAGGTGGGGTAGGTAATTTTGGAGGAAACCAGCTCGAGTGCGCTAGAATTTGAAAATACACAACCGGAACAAATCTGCCACTTCCTTACAGAGCCCCTCCTCCAACACACACGAACGCGCACATGACCAATGAGGGCACGAGATAGGTTTGTGCACGGATGGAAGTCTGACAGGCAGGTAGGCCATCCAGTTATTTTAGCCGGGCCGGCTATAGAGTGGCGAAGTCCCTCCCCTTCCGGTTGAGCCCCATGGGACCTTATTTCGGAAAAGTTATGCATTGAAGTCAATGGAGAGAGAAAGATTATCTTTCGATCCCGTTTGAATTGTGCCACGAATTACACATATGATGTTTGTCAATTTAAAAGATAATTTTGCAAGTCAAAAAAAAAAAAATGTGCCGTAAAACTGTGAAGTAACACATTTGTTTGTGTGAAACGCTAAATGAACTACATCTCTCGTCAACCACACACGTCACCAAGATGGCCGTCACTACTGTCTTGTCAACAAACGATTGACTACCCTCACTATCACCACAATGAAACACGTCCTGAAGAATGTCATGCAAAGCCTGCCTTCCTTTGATTCTCTCTGAACTGCCTGGTCGTTTTAATGTTTAATGTCAACCATTTGTGCAGATAGCATGAAGTAGAAAAGATCGCCGATGCTAACGTTAGCGTTAGCATTTCTCCCCCGGAATTAAATGGTGTATTATAGAATGATCACACCGGTGACAGTACTATTCAAAGGGTTCACGAAATATGACTACTACTCTTACTGTTTAACATTTTGGGTTACTTAATGTTACTTCATGTTAAGGCTAATAAAAATGACAAGGCTGTAATGCTAACTAACGTGCTAGCTACTAGCTAGGTAGCTAACTTGATCAAGCCACTCCTGGTCGTTTCATCAGACGGGAAGCAAAAGAACGAGCAAGACCCATTGCTGGTATAATAACAACCTGGTACTAAGCACACAGGCATCTTGTTAAAGTTATCTTATCTTAGCCAGCGCCATATAGATAGATTATATCTATATTGCGCTGATCTTAGGTATCTGAATGGTGGAGGTAAACAATTGTGACATCACTTACGCGACTCTGGGATTTGTAGTCTTTCTAGTTACGTATTTTTCATAGTCTTATATTTCAACAGTTTTACGACAAACTGTGACTTTTTTGACATGGAAATGATTTTTTAAGATTGACAAACATCATATGTGTAATTCATGGCACAATTCAAACGGGATCGAAAGATAAGTTTTCTCTCCCCATTGACTTCAATGCATAACTTTTCCGGAATAAGGTCCCATACCCCGGAAGTAAGTGGGAGGGACTTCGCCACTCTATTGTCAAAGCATTTAATATATTCATTCATTGCTATCGGGATGTTAAGTTAAGAGCATTCCATGGAATATAACAAAAAGTGTTTCTGAAATAAATTACATAGGCTACCCCACCTTTAAGGAAATAAAATACAAATGAGATTTGTTTTCCTGTGAGCAAATTAACCCTTAAAATAAGCAGTCATCTTGAGTGAAAGTACTGATACGACACTGTACACATACTCACTTTTAAGTTAAAGTACTGCATCGAGAATCAAATGTAAAGTGTAATGTAGTTTAAGTATTAGGAGTAAAAGTGCTCATTGCAGAAAAAACTCAACAAATAGCCTATAAATATTGATTGTACTTGTAGACTAAGTACAAAGTATACCAACACATTTAAATACTCAAGTAAAGTAGGCTACAAGTATCTCAAAAGTGTACTGAACGACAGTACTTAAGTGTTAATGTACTTAGTTACTTCACACCTCTGAACATGCATATATTTGAGATGAACTTGTTTATAAAATGTACCCTTTTTCAGCAGTTTTATGTTGATGGCTTTTTTTTTGGCTCAGAATTTCCGGGAGTTTCCACTGGTTGCCTGGCAACAGCTAAGTAGGCTCTTTCAGTGCACAAACTGAAAAATGTTTAATTGATTTTTGACTTTTTCTGATGTAGACCTATACGGATTCAAAAACATATATTGCGTATTGTTTAACCCTTATCTTCAGGAATTATTTTAATTTTAAATCCCAGTGTTTCAAACGTTACTATTTTGTATGCCTTATAGTTTAAAGGTGGGGTAGGTAAGTCTGAGAAACCGGCTCGAGATACACTTTTTGTTATATTCCATGGAATGCTCTTAACATTTCGATAGTAATGAATATCTTAAGTGCTTTGACAAAGCACTTAAGATAGCTGGAAGCCGTAATACTGTAAAAAGTACGACCAATCATTTTAGCCGGCCCGGCTAAAATAACTGGATGAGCTACCTGCCTGTCAGCTTTCCATCTGTGCACAAACTTATCTCGTGCCCTCATTGGTCATGTGCGCGTTCGTGTGTGTTGGAGGAGGGGCTCTGTAAGGAAGTGGCAGATTTTCTCCGGTTGTGTATTTTCAAATTCTAGCGATCTCGAGCCGGTGCTGTTGTTTTATATTACACACTTAAAGGTGGGGTAGGTAATTTTGGAGAAACCAGCTCGAGTGAGCTAGAATTTGAAAATACACAGCCGGAAAAAATCTGCCACTTCCTTACAGAGCCCCTCCTCCAACACACACGAACGCGCACATGACCAATGAGGGCACGAGATAAGTTTGTGCACGAGATGGAAGGCTCACAGGCAGGTAGGCCATCCAGTTATTTTAGCCCGGCTAAAATAACTGGATGGCCTACCTGCCTGTGAGCCTTAAGTGCTTTTTACAGTACTACGGCTTCCACAGATGACATTTTTTTATGGATTTTTTGTCAAAGCACTTTTGCATATTAGCATATTCATTGCTATCGGGATGTTAAGAGCATTCCATGGAATATAACAAAAAGTGTATCTCGAGCCGGTTTCTCAAACTTACCTACCCCACCTTTAATTATTTCATACATTTATATCAGTTTATTTTATAAAGCCATTTGTGGATTATAATTATGATAACTATTATTAATATTACTAATTGTATTCATGCTGAGAAGTGCTTTACACCTTCTTTACCACACGGGGGCGCTGTAAGTCCATGAGGATGAGCAGAGAAACAGGAAGAGATATTTCAGCACAGTTTAACTTTGAAAACAAAAAACTCTTTATATCACATATACTGAAGATGCTCATTAGGCTCGTGGTTTCACAATACATGAAGGAAACTGTATCCTGCCAACACTTTGTTAATAAGGATGTCATGAAACACAACAGTCTGCAGGTTTATTAAAGATTTGCATCTGTTTTGCAGCATCTTCTCTCAATAAACATTACTTTACCAGACATTTAAATGACATAAAGACACTTTGAAAATACCGTAATTTTAAATAAACAGCCTTCATCTTGTCAACGTTAATCCTGCAGTGATGTCCAAACAGCAGTGTGTCTGTTAAATCAGAGACTGTTTAACAAGATTGACAAAAAAAGGTCACAGAGACCAAATCCAAGTCATGTATCTTTCATGCAGCCTGCACTCAGCCTGCAGTGAATTGACTTTGACAATTACAATAACGGGATAATTGCAATCTGTCACCATACATTCTGTGTTAGCATATCACAAAATAACCAATCCGCGCCACTCACTTCACACACACACACACACACACCCTGATCTGCATAACACACACATCACCCCGCTTTGTAATTATAAATGAATTTCACGGTGCGAGGCTTTTAATGCAAATAATATGGATCTTTTTTTCCCTCTCTGACCAACAGGACTCAGTGTGTGTGTTTGTGTGTGCACGTGTGTATATATGTGTGTGTGTGAGGGAGAGAGAGGATCAGATTGCAGCCAAGCTTTGTTTGACTAGCCTCCCCTCTCAAACGAGTTAATGGGATGGAAGTTATTTGCCACCCTGAGCTGACGATGCGAGGTCGAGCAGAAGCATTGAATTAAAAAAAACTGGCAAAAAAAAGGCGTCAATATATGTGCTGGAGACAAAGAACTAAAACACACCCGAGCAGGACAAAGACAGACAGATGGAGACGGCAGGGGTAGTGTGTGTGTGTGTGTGTGTGTGTGTGTGTGTGTGTGTGTGTGTGTGTGTGTGTGTGTGTGTGTGTGTGTGTGTGTGTGTGTGTGTGTGTGTGTGTGTGTGTGTGTGTGTGTGTGCCCCTGTAACACTGAGCTTGGACCCCCATGTGGCCCCAGAAAAAAACGACATTGCAGCAAAGGCTATGTCGTCACCAAAAAAAACAGGATTTTTTTGTATTTAAAAAAAATTATATAATTAAAATAAGATTGTAACTTAGACCTTGACTAAAATTCTGTTCCTGAAACAAACACCAATAATTAAGTGTTTTTGTGGCTATGACTTTTATGTCTTTAACATTTTAATTATGACAAACAAGAATGATAACTTCTAAAAATGTATATACCTCTAATTGTTATGACTTTTCCACATGTAACCAGCAAGGCACCCCAGTGAAATTGGTCTAACCGCCATTGTGCGTGTGTGTGTGTGTGTGTGTGTGTGTGTGTGTGTGTGTGTGTGTGTGTGTGTGTGTGTGTGTGTGTGTGTGTGTGTGTGTGTGTGTGTGTGTGTGTGTGTGTGTGTGTGTGTGTGTGTGTGTGTGTGTGTGTGGTGACAGGGACCCCATCAGTGCAGGATCAGAGTGGGGAAATTGGAGGACAATGTCTGAGAGGGGGGGGGCGGGGGATAATTTGAAGCGATCGGGGGGGCGGGGTCCCAGAGGTGCATAATTCACTCGTTCATTAACTAGACCAAACAAGAGCCAATATTAATTAACTCGTTCCTCGCGCTGAGGCGCCCCGAGTAGCGCGTGCTTTGT